AGTAACTAGGTACATTTCCATTCACTGTATCATACATTAATAGACTTAAGTGCCTTTGACGCCTTGAGGCAAGCTCTTCCCAGTTTAGTTGTTTTCGTATTTGTGCTGAACGAACGTCATAACCTTGAAACGTTATTATGCGTGCAGCACGATTTTGTAATTTCTTGATCCTAGTGGCAAGTGCATGGTCTAAATTGTCCCAAACAATTGCCTGCCTGTTGCCTTAGTCTAGTTCCCGGCTTAGTTTGAGGTTATGCATCACATTTATTAAACGTTTATCAAATATGAAAGAAAGAACTGACTATGTACAGAACAACTTACCCTTGCTGTCGACTATGCCTCTATTAATGTGTTTTTCCGTTTTCGGATATTGCGTCGTTTATCATAGATTGAAAGCAAGAGAGCGAGAACGGTTCGTTCTAAAATCTGCTCTGCCTGTTAAGGTCTGTTTGATTATAGCCCGAGCGGACAGTAGGAAACGAAAACTCACCTTTTTAAACCGAATCTCAGTACATGATAGTGAGAATGCAAGGATGAAATTGTGTGAATATGAAAGAGCTTCTGCACACTAGATATATACGATATTCATAATTGATAACATGTAGCCTTTTTCTAGGTAACGAAACTTATGTAAACTTATGTAAATGATCAACACGCAAAATGGAAACAGCTAGATGGCCTACTCTGGGCAAGAAACCATGGCCCTAGCCCCAAGAAGCATTCTTACGGGATACCGAAGTTTGCTCCAGAGCCAATTTGGGTTACTTTGTCCGCATTGTCTACAGAAGCGGAATAGTAATCACGACCCTACATTGACAGAATAACACTAATTTTAATTTAATTATTACTATTCCTTTTTGGCAGCTTTCCATTCTGCTAATCTTCAAAATTTAGCCAGATCTTGGCAAAGAAAGCAGTTCATTTATTTATGCACTGAACTATAATTCACTCTAGTTGTGTATATATGGTTGTGTTTTTTGTATTGTAGGTTTTAAAAATGACGGCAAAAAATATATAGATCAATGCAATTTTACAATCATCGCAATGATGAGAGATGGTGCTATAATCATGATGAGATGCTGTGGTTTTTGCCCCCGCAGGGAATTTGCCCAGAAGGCACCCTAGTAGCTCGCGACCGTGTAATAGTCCAGTTTCGAATTAAAAATTACCGCTGAATATAAACATCGACGACATATTCATACAGGGTTAGCCTCGACTTAAAGTAAAATGTTCAGAAATTCTGGCAAGTCAGTGTGTTTGAAATTTGAATATACACAATAGACAGACTAATAAACAGGTCCTTTTCTCGTTGGAATTTGTGAATATATTACTTCAGATTGAGGCTAAGGCTGTAAAAAATGCGTCTTCACTTCTTTAATTTAGCGGTCATAGCGAACTCGAAAATGGACTATTAGGGAAAGTACTTACAGTTGAAATATACATTCAGTATGCCACAAAAAATCACGGGGGCCGCGTGGAATCGTTGGGTAATGATGTATGTATGTAAATCTTTATTTAAACACGGGAAATCATCAGTTAAGCTTAAGTTAAAAACTAAAACTAATTACAACTGCTTTACATGATTGCCGTGTGGGAATCCGATATATCAGCTACCTTCTTGATATTTCGCGTAAAATGCTCAACGGATGCAGCGTTTTTTAAGTTTTTGGGCAAGTTATTCCATAACATGGCCCCGCTGTAAGAGAAGCTTCGTTTCAAATAATTGGTGTTTGGTTTGGACAGGGTCAGCCTTCCCTCAGAGTTTCTTAAGTTGTAAGCAGAGTGACGCTGAGAGAAAAGACTTTGTAGATATTTTGGAGCAAGGTCATGTATGGTTTTATACATCATTAAGGCTTTTTGTTTCTTTCGTCGAAGAGATAGCCTCTCCCAGCTGAGGGTGGAGAGAAGGTGGTTTGAGCTCGCATCAAAGGGTGATTTAGTAATAACTCTGGCTGCACGATTCTGTAATTTTTGGAGCTTATCACTCAAGTAACCACTCAAACAGTCCCAGACGGGGCTGCAGTAATCAAAATGAGGCATAATTAAAGCGTTATAAATTTGAATTGCAGTTTCTTTGGATATAAAGGGCCGCACACGTTTTAGGGCGCCTATAGCTGAAGAGACTTTCTTGCAAATCTCTTCAACGTGTTTACCCCAAGAGAGTTGAGCATCTATGGTAAGACCCAAGGATTTGGTATGATCGACT